ACCCACTCAAGTCCCTAGCTAATGTCATCTCACCAGCCGTGACAAACCTATTCAATAAATTGCTGTCTGCAGGATCTGTCCCGAACGACTGGAAATACTCGATAGTGAGACGACTTCCCAAGGATGGTGATCCGAGTAAAGTAGAGAACTATAGATCAATCTGTTTGACTTCGGTGTTATCCAATTTCTCGAGAAGGTTGTGAAAAACTGTCTGCCTTCGTTCTTCGAATCGACGAATGTAGTGACGCCAGCGTAACACGGCTGTACGAAAGGGCGCTCATGCAACACCAACTTAATCTTTGCAAAGCACCGGTGGGTACGAGCTCTCAACGTACGGAAGGATGTTGACGTGGTGTACATCGACTTTATTATGACTTCTGACGGAGTGAACCACGAGGTACTCCTTCGTAAACTGAGGACCTACGGAATCGGTGGTACGCTACTTCAGTGGTTACATGAGTTTAATATGGGACGAAAGTTTGGAACAAAGGTCCATGAATAACTGACAGGCTGGTTCCCAATGACTAGTGGCGTGCCTCAAGGAACTGTACTTGGACGATTATTATTTTTTTTATTCGTGTCAACGATCTCCCCCAGCAGCTCCAGTCACCATATGCCCTGGTTACAGATAATTTGAAAATCTGGAGGATCATTGAGAACCAGGACGACTGCGCTCCACTTCAGCATGACTTAGATCAACTGTCAACGTGGTCCACTGAAATGCAACTCCTTCTTAAAGCAAGCAACTCGGAGTTCATCATTATCACCAGACGTGCAGTCACTTGGACGGTCAGTTGCTCCATTCTAACACATCTGTCAGAGACTTAGGCGTGCTCTCGCGACATGATATGAGATCACTAGAAAATACAGAGAAATTGTACCATGTGGGACTTCCGATGCTCTGAGCATTACAACGCAGTTTCTCCACCTAGTCCGAAGAAACCATCTCTGGTCTATTCACCTCGCTTATTAGACCAATCCTTGAATACGGTTCCCCAGCTTGCTATCCGATAACTCAGTGGGAAACTGAAAAGCCGGCGAAAATGCAGCATAGCGCAACTAGAATGATACCCAGTCTACGGAAACCTCCGTATGAAAAACGTTGTGAAAGGCTCGGACTCTACACACTATCCTACCGTCGAGTAAGAATTGACCTTATTATGACCCGTCGAGTCTTACACTTAAATCAATTCGCCATACTGCGGCCAATATTTCACCAGCGGAAATGCTGTAACACTCGTGGATACCGTTATAACCTCAGGGTCCCTGCAGGAAAAAGGTATCACATCAGCTTTTTCTAGAACGAAGAATCGTAAGCGTATGAAATACACTGCCAGAAGGACTAATATAGGCCGATTATGTATAATGTTTTAAAACACGTATCGACGATTAATTCGGAAGCCTGTGCTTTTTGATACGGTGCACATATAGTGGAAAAATACATCCTATACCCGAAAATAATGACATCAACACGAATTCCTAAGCGAACAAGGACAAACGATTAACTGACCAAACACTACCGCTAACGATTCGCAATCAAATGATTTGGTCTTTCATAATTCGGTAGAGTTGTACAGAAACCTTTCTAATTGCTCTTAAATACATTTTCAGTCTCTGTCACAATCATTTTACTAGAATGTAGTCGAATTTGCATGCATTTTGTTGATTACAACCGAGTAGCAAAGAGTGAGTACGCCTTCTTAGATTCTGGTTGTTATTAAGACCAGTAATGCTAATAATGAGTGCCGTGGTTAGAAACGGTACTGTTCCTCTATTACCCTCAGTTAATTTCAGGATTACCTCACTTTACTCATAACAACAACTGTTTGAATTATAGAGATTACCTTCAGAAATGGTCTATGTTAGCGAAATTCCTCGTTTCACCATGCTCATGGTAATTGCGCCTACAGCTCAAACTGTATTATCAATGTACTGATTTCTTATTAACCTGATTCTGTAACAAACCATGTGCTAATTTTTCACAGCCTGTTAGTAAGCTAAAGTGTATGGATGATTGCTTTGGCGACTGAGCTTGTGAGAACATTCCTAGCTATATCGATTCCTTCATGAAGACGTGCCAAGTGATGCGATTGTGTACTTGTTCATTGTCTGTACTGTCCGCCAGTGTATCAACCGAAATCGTGTTGCTCAGTGGCACAAACCAACCAGAAGTTTTATGCGCCGTGAAGCAGTCGGGCATGCGGTAGGGCTTTATTCACCTCGAAAACACACCCAGCAGATACGCTGGGTTGGCAGTTACTTCCGCACACCTTTGCTCTTGATTGTTATATCATGGGGTCGGCTTTGCTGGGTCGTGCCTCATCACGTCGAGAATGTTATGATTATGATTATGTTATGATTATGTTATGATTATAACGCAATGAATTTTCACGGCACCAGTACAACTCAATTACAAAGCAGTCGAGGAAATGGAAAATGAAACCTCGCGCTACCAACTAATAATATGACCATCCGTCGGAATTAGTTCCGTTGGAAGGGACAGAAATTATGTGCAAACGACCGTAAAGTTTGCACCAGCAATCGAGATACATTGTTTTAGCAGAGGAACGGCTTCCGCATCATTTGTACTTAGGCGTGTTTACCGGTCACTCAAATGTACACTAGCAACTCAGTTATGGCTAGATCAGTTAAGCAGCATGTGGATAAGCAACATGCTTTCGCATCAGTACAGTACTCATAAGATTGAAGAAGGTATTTCCAGGGCCCTTGTGCCCAATTTTTGCTAAAGTATTTTGACTTTACTATGTATGATAGTCACAATAGTCCTTGACGGTGATGGCAACAACACAACAACCCGAAACCATCCGAACTGTAGTGTGTCCCAACCCAATATGACCAACTTATTGGCACCATAAACAGTGGGGAGGATCAGGCCCCGTTTTGGCAACCGAGCGGACTAAAGACGTATAAACTGAGCAATCAGTCACTGGCTGCCAATGGACGCGATTCTCTGAATTCGCTTTGCTGCCTTGCAGGCAGCCTATTCAGCCAAACGCTCGAGGAGGTGTCCCTTAAGTCAACAAACTACCTTGTTTTAGGCACCATACTGTCGGGCGCTCTGACGAGGCTAATAACTTCTCAGTGTTAGATTCAGTTTTCTGTTCACGATAACTATATCATTATTTGTTTTCCATAGTTTTGGCTAACACCATGCCCACTCGTAAACTGTGGCAAAGATAGATACATCGTTAGTAATTTGTGAGTTTCATATGTTTCTATTGAACTCGATGATTGCTGCGTGAATAGATCACTTCAGTGGCATAACTAGATTGCTTACCACATGCCTTTGACCAATTCCACGGGCCAATCAGACTTCCTATAGCCTAAATTTTACTTGATCGGTAGTAGCTATTCACTAGTAAGTCAACGATTGGCCGGATTTCTTGATGTTGGCCAATGGGTCAACCTAAGACACCTCATCGGCACAAGCACCACCGTGTTATCCCCTACTGATGAGCTCCATTTAATAGTGCTGAATCAAAGAAGCATTGGTGGACCTAGTCAAGTTGATAATATTGTGGTTTCCTCCCAGTCTGGTGCATTATCGATGGGAAGCTTGGCACTATTTATTGATTGATGTCTTTATTAACGATGCCACTGAATTAATTCGTGAACTTCACTGCATCTTGGATTGCTAATCAAGTATTAACTACGGTAATTGATAACCTTCCTTGTTATTGTGACTGCAGTGGATTAGACAAGACCTGCGCCTATAAAGCGACCATGGGTGTCTGCCATTGTCTTACTCAAAGCTCCACCCAACACTTAAAGTCCAGTGTCAACCAGAGAAACAGGCCTGAGGTTGAAAGCAAGTTTGTTACCGAACCGATCCACGCTGCCTCAACATGAAGCATCCATTTGAAAGCAACTTAGTGAAACCATCCTCTAAGTATAGAGTGCACTTTGCTGCTATTTGGTCCGTGGTAACAGTACTTCTGGTATATCGTGAGTGCGAATTCGAAGCAAACGAGCGTGTCAGATGTAAAAGTGAACGACTTGGTTGCGATCTGCTCCAGCAGTATCTCAATGACATCTTCACAGCATTGGCTGTAAGGAAGAAAAGAGCAGTGAATCAGGTGGCCGAAGTGCTATTGGTCCAAGAGCAAATACCCTTCGGTACTTGCACTAGGCTTTACTTACTGTTGCCACACTGCTGAAGGAGTCAGGCATTATATAACGTCCATTCAGATGTTTACCTGGCATTCAACTTATGTGGACACAGCTTGATATTCAACAATTTCCCAAATGGACAGTGAAACACTCACTACCGATTGACCACGCAGAGCTGTATTGGCCCCTTAATTCAAACTAATAGTCGATCCCTGTCCGGCTGAGTATGGTTGTGATTAAGGCTATTTCAAATATTTGCTTATCTCTTCGGACGTATTTAATTACGGATGTGTTGGATTCTGCCTATTAATGTAGCTTTATTAAATGCGCGATGCCCTTGTGATTATCGACGTCTCAAGCACGGGTAGATTTGACCAACTTTGACACGTTAGGTGAGAGCCTCCTCGCTATTCCACCAAAGCATCTTGCACGCCAATCCTGAAGTTGTACACTTAAGTGAGCCCCTCAGTCCATACTGTTCGTTAATGAATCCACCTGGCTGAGCAATAGACAACCCGGTAAAGGCGCTTACTTCTGGATGGTCTTGTGAGCAGCAGACTAGGAAGCCTCTCCCACTGTTAGTTTAATATGGTATTCTCTTAATTTTCGTTGGCGCATTTTGTTATGCGATCTTGATGCGAACCACTGCGTAAAATATTACAAGCTTCTTCATGGGGCTCATAACTCGCTATTCGGTATGAACAGAGTACAGAAAAATTTCACCATTCGGTTGTATTTATATACGTATATTTTGTTCACTATGTTGCCATTTGCTCTTTTTAGCTTATCGTTCGCCTTCCGGCGAACTTCGTGGCTCAACATCTGCCAACTCGTCTATTCCTACCATCATACTTCATTTTCAATTTCAGGGCTTTCCGTCAGATGATCAACACCTCCGTTTTGTGCGAAACAAACATACAGCTTTCTGCAACTCAACACCTGACATGCGCCGCGTGGGAAAAGTGGCAACGTCGCCAGTCATTGTGCCGCATCCACCAACTCACAACAACCAGTATCCGTTGCAAGATTTTGCTCACAGATATGGGGCCCTTGCAGGATCGGTTAGTGCTGGCTTGAAGCCGAAAATGCTCAACTAGCCTTGAATATTCAAATTTTAAACCTCATATTGTAATGGGTTCACGTAAATAGCTCACACAAGGCTGAAATTCACTATGGTCCTTAATTTTTTTGCGATAATTGCTTCCTTCACCGTCTTACCCGAGAGAGGTCGGAAGCGAAAGCAGAACGTAAAGGTGTGTAAAGGTGTGCCTCGCCTGTAAAGGTGTGCCTCGCCTCGTCGAGAACAAAAGTGTATTTTTTAATTTATTTAACATACTTTTTTCCATCCAAAGCCGTTTCTAGTGCCGTCACATTTGATTAGAAGCGGGCTATAGCTGTTATGTTTGGCACTACAGGGATATATATATATATATATATATTACTATGAAGTAGCTAGGCACTGTTGCAGTAAAAGTTTATTAACGACATTTTGGAATAGTGTTAAGTGATAGCACATGTAGTTCCCCAATTCCGTGTGAGCTCCCGTGGCGCACGCTGCTCGATTTTCACAACACCGAAAGCATACCAGTCACTGGCTAAGTAATGCAGGCAGTTTGCATTTCTTCACATCCGTTTAATTGGTATATCCTCCAGCCCCCCCCCAATAACCGAGTGAACTTTTCCGTTTAGGTTCTATTTCATAGTTATATCACATGTGTCTCCACGGTTCGTTTTAGCTCTTGTATTGGCAGCTTCATTGGACGTTTTTCGAACTACTTCTTTGAACCAGAATTAATTTTTGAACAACACAACTTCGCTCCCCTAGATGATTGACGGTCTACTGGAGGAAGAAAATGAAGATGACACTGAATCTGACATATATGAACCTCCACCGCCAGCTCCACCTCTGTCACTGGTACGAACGCGTGGTGACTCATGGTTTGTCAGTCCTAAACAACCTTACGTGTGCACCTCGCCTGAGTTCCATAGTCCCGATTTTACTCAAAGTCGATTGGCTGTGCGAGGTCAGAGTATGTTCCGGTCCCAAATCTACCGACCATTAGAATGGAATGACGTGGTGGAATCCAATCACTCGTGCTTTCTCGGTAGCCCGGAACACGACCAACGTTCACCTGGTGGCAGCGTCACTCTCCGTGGCCCTGTCGTCCACGTGACTCGTCCAGTTAAACAACGTCAGGGAATGATGGCAAATCCTGGTAAGATGAGCAGTATAACTAGGTGTTTATGGAGTGTGTACCATTTACGTTTCTAATGAAGGCATCTTGATAAGTAGCCTAAACTAAACAGTGCAGATGGGTAGTATGCATCGGCTCGCTTGGATATTACTGCCCCCGTGATCTAAAGGCCACCTGAAACAGCAGCTGTATGCCGATTTAACGGAAGTAATAATTGCCCAAATTTTGACCGACGGAAGCCAACAGAATGAAGTAAGTGCACACACAGAGCGGCTACGTACAAAGGTAAGGCGCTGTGAGTAGCTTTCAAATTCGCGTGTCCAGCACGTGATTGGTGCATATCAGAAGAGAGTACATCGGTGTGTAACTGCTATAGCTTCCTGAGCCTGTTACTTGGAGTAAAGGTATTTACTAATGCATATACCTTCCTCTGCCACCAATTGAATCCTTTTCATAATATCCGCATACCTCCCGATGTATCGCACTGAAATTTCGTTTTGCTTTGATTCATTGCAACACCGATTAGAGCTGCGTCCAACTGCAGCTTGGCAGGCGGATGATTACCAGGAAGGTGGATAAACTCTGTGTAGGCTCCAGTCCCTTGGTTGCAAGTGTTACTTTTGACAGCGTCCTATTTAATCGGTGGTGGCATAAATGTGACGTGAAGGCTGAATGAACCGATGAGTATTAGGAACAAATAAATAGCAACATCCCGGCATTTCAATATCCTTTACATTCAAACAGCATATGTCACCTTGCAAATAGGTGATTTGTTATGTTGATGTACTCATGGGTAGGGGAATTTTGATATAAAGAACAGGTTCTTCTCAGCCAGCTTCCAAATCAGATAGTCGTTCACATGCCCAGAAAAGTAGTAGACTGCAGTTTCAGCCTGTTGGTTATCATCAGTAGTTCGCATTCATCGGATCCAGCAGGATTCGAACCTATGATCACTGGCGGATTGGACCGCTAGTCAGCAGGTTATGCCACTGGGCCACGGAGGACGTCTTCGAACATCATGATTTGCAAGCTAATTGCGCTATAGCGCGTTATTTTCAATTGAGAACCCAACTGATCGGGTACGATACTATTATGAGTAAAATTACACAGGCTGAAGCAGACCTGCGAGTCTACAGTCCCTGTGAAACAGTGCAAGATATTAAGTAGATGAACACTAGTGGATGACTACAGCTATGAACAACGTGTTGAAAACCTTTTGGACTGCGTCAAAACAGGAATAAGTGGTCTGACTAACCCGCCAGTTGGATGCAACGTCCGCATGAGGTACACCACACTGCGTCCATATATGAGAAACGAGTGTAGAGTTCACACACGTATACCCACGATAATACGCAGGAGAAAGAGTTGCGTTTCGCCCGAGTGAACCAGACAAGCGGATGAGTACTTGATCCATCCGCAACTATTGGTTTATGACTTGGATCTTCATTATCACTTTGGTCTATTCATATCCTACGGTTACTAAAGAGCTAAACGCAAGGTTACACATTCAGCAATGTGGCTAACGCATACAGTAGGGCGGTAGAAATGGACAACGGTCATTGCTTTTCACAGTTTATCGGCGATCTTGTGTTAACTCCCACTGACTATTCTGCGTTGCGACACCGGCAGCAACCATGGCAGTGGTCCAGATTGATTCAGTCAGATGAACGAAGGCGCTGCATATGAGCGATGCGATAGGCTAGTCTATAAAATATTATGCCCATATTCTAGACCCAGGTGTAGGCTACGTGACGGTCAAGAATGAATGACTTTCATAAAATCCATGGATATAAATTATTTCTGTAAAATCCGTATGATGCCTCTGCTCTAATGTGCGGACTTTCGTACATGCTTATTTCAAGTACCCTTATTTCAAGCACCCTAACTAGATATAGAAAGTACATGAAGACAGTAATAAAGCAAGCAGCCAATTCATTACCATTTGGTTTTACACTTGCCACATCCTCCAATAAAACCGCTTTTGCAACACCCAACATCGTCCACACAATGGCGCTGAGAGTGAAGTGCAATTGGTAACCGACTGGGCCTTGAAGACGCTACGAACATCGCGATTTTCTGCCTATCATCGAACCGAACATGTTTCTCTAGCTACAGACATTTAAAGCAAAACGGTGTCACTTCAACCGAAACGTTCGATACCGATTAGCGTGCCTTTTACTTGCGGCAGCGGTTCTAACAACGCAGCCACCGATGGTTAAACTGAGCTCCATTTATGTCCACTCTTATTTCAGGTCAGCTTGCTAAGCTGTCTTCTCCGGACACTTCAACCGAAGACAACACAATGGAGCACTCGTATGAAGGAACGAAAGTTGCCCCACATGAACTGTTCTGGAAACTTCCGCCGCAATCCAAGGTGAATTGTCCTTGTTGCACTTTCTCAAAAGGTCTTGGCCACTAAGTGGGCAATCCTGTTGAGTAGATATGACATGTGAATGCCACCGTGGTGATTACTTACTATCAGTGATTAACCTTCGAAGTACCAATTCTGCGTGTTTCTACCTCTTCGCTACAAACCTGTTTACTACTGGAGTACAAAGTAAAGCTGAATGGAGGAAACGAACTCACCAGGGCCGCTAAAACTGCTTGAAATACCTAGGTGAATCTAAGCCACCAGTTACCATGCAACCGCAAAACTGCAGCAAACGCGCAACCTCATTCCACCGATAATGGAACCGGCAGTAATGCCAAGACAACAGCCGTTCAAAAGCTTCACTGAATCAGAGGGAATACTGACCTACAGCAATCCAAAAATTCCCATTCGTTAGAATTATTTTCAGTAATTCTCATCGGACTCAAACATTACATGATGATGGCAAAGTGCTACGTGTGTCGGATTGGGCTGTGTGTTGATCAGAATGGTTAATTATAACAGGAACAAGTAGATAAATAACGGGTCCTTGGGGGTGACAAATTATGTACAGCGGAAATCACAGCAGAAGTTGTAGGCCACAGTAGAAGTAAAGGACGTACAAACTGTTTTTGTACGCACGATTCTGGCTGAATGTGGCGGATATAGATAGCTTCCGCAATAGACAGGAGATGCTTCCGGAATCCACGCGAGAAACGTTCAGGGATAGTATAGAGGACTCGGAAATCGTCTTCCGTCCCTGCGTGTCTGCACTCTAGGAGGTGCGACAGGATGGAGCTGTTACTAGACCACGCTTCGTCTTTGGAAAACCACTTCGGGATGCGTTCGCGAATCCTATGAGATAAGCGCCTCCTAGTACGACCCACGTATGATGCACCACAGGAGCACGATTACATAGAAATAAGCAGTGATTTAGTCACCGGAGGCAGCCTGTCTTTCAAAGGTTTTGCGAATAAAGGCTTGTTGCAAGATACTATGCCTAGGCCAGCCGCGAAATAAGTATTTTCAACAGTAGCTTTCAGGCGTTTGGACAGGGCATCGGACTCACTGTTGCTTTTGAAAGGATGATGCGCAATTATTTCTTTCTTGGATACGTTCATCCTCGGTGGTTTTATCTTGCGTCCTTTAAATGTTTGAAGATGGATTTATCTGGATAACATTCGCTCTTAGAACGTCACTGATCTTCTGTAATTCTTTGGGGATTTTGTCCGTTGTGCAAATTCTGTTTACCTGGAAGGCAAGAGTGCGGACTATATTTCGTTTGTACTATAGGGTTACCGCGCTATATAAGTTGATGTACTGTCCAGTCCAAATTGGTTTTCTATAAGCTGCTCCGCTGCACGATCCATCGGTGTTTCTGATGATATGGTCCAGGAACTGTAGTCTTTTTCGGGACCCGTGCTCACATGTGAATTGTAGATTCTGATGCGCATCATTAAAGGCTTCCAATAGTTTCACAGCCTGTGCTTTCGATTTACAGAGTATACATGTGTCGTCCACATAATGTACATACATCACGACTTCTTTGATGTGCGTTCTTAATGCGCTATGCGCTAAGTTTGCCATAAAGACATCTGCTAGAAAGGATCCCAATGGTGATCCGATGGCAACTCCATCAATTTGACGATCCGTCTCCCCGTGAACTGCACGTTTAAGGTGCATCTGAGTAACAATTCCTTCAGAAAGATTTCCGGGAGATTTATAGGTACATTCAGTTGCCACACTAGTTCACAAACATATTCTACTGTTTCCAACAACGGAATATTCGTAAACAACGACTGTGCATCAAATGACGACATTCATCTGTTGTTATGGTTCAGGCCCCTTGTTTTATCAATGAACTCGAAAGTGTATTTCACGCAGTAAGTGCAGACGGTTTTGCGCAGCGGTTCCAGCTTCTAAACCATCTATTGAGTTATAAACTGTTGCGCAGAGCAAATCATGTCCAGTATAGGACAGCTTAGAGCGCCCTCCTTGTGAACTTTAGGGAGGCCATACAACCGTGGTAGATGGCCGCCTAAAGGCTTCAGCTTTTTCGAATTCGCCCTTTGTGATAACATTCGCTTTCATCATACGTCGGAGTAAATCGGTCAATTGTTTTTCTAACTCTTTCTTTACTGTTGGGTTTTGCAACTCACATTCATCAGTAAGTATATGTTGCATCTTACTGATATAATCCGTTCTATCTATTGGAACTGTACCAGAACCTTATCCGGCTTAGAGATAATTAACTCTTTAGTTAACCATAACTCTCTAAGTGAGTGCATATGTTCAATTGTAAGAACACCAGTATTGGCTTGCCTAGCCTTAATGTAAGCATGACAGGTGTTTACTAAGCTGGATAACAAGTTCTCAAAGTTCCCTGGCGAATTCGGTGACAGGTCATGCGCATGTGCTATTAAGCTTTCAAACTATACCTCTAATGCAGCCTGATCAACTTTTTGCAACGAATGCAAAACTTAGCGCCTAATGATAAAACAATTAGTTGGGTCGGGTTAAGCACCATATTAGAAAGCTTAAACACGTACTGCTCCGAGGTACTCGGCAAGTTCAGTTGGGGAACTTGGCGATTTAGCGAGCTAAATAACTTCATTCTTTTCTGTGCGCCCCTTTGTTTTTTAACCTGTTCTACGTATGCTTCAAAAGGCCTTCGTAACTCATCCGATAGGCCTATGACGGTATGCATCCGTTGTGATATGAATCTTCCCAGCTCTGATATTTTCGTGCGAATATTTTCCATATACTTGAGCGTGTGCTGCCTCAGATTGCGCATATTTGGATAGAAAGCACATCAGCGTATTTCTCTCTAAAAGTATTTCAGATACCGGCATGACTGTAAGGACTCGTTGAAGAAACTCAGTTCAACCTCAGTCTCTTCATGCCGAGCAGTGAACTTTAGATACTGATCCAAAAGCTTGACTGAATCACGGGGAATGCTGATCTTCAACAATCCAAACATTCCTATTTATTTGAACGAAACAAACGAGATCGAATCAGAGTAAAGAGTTCTTTTCGGTAGTTCTCGTCAGACTCAAACCTTACGTAATGACGACAAAGTTCTAAATGTGCGGGATTGGGCTGCGTATTGATCAGAATTTTTAATTCCAACAGGAACAAAGCAATAAATCACGGGGTCATTGAGGGTGGTAAAGTAAGAAATAATTGTGCATCTTCCTTTCAAAAACGACAGTGCGGCCGATGCCCAGTCCAAACGCCTGAAAGATGCTGTTGAAAATACTTATTTCGCGGCTGGCCTACGCATAGTATTTTACAACAAGCCTTTATTCGCAAAACGTTTGAAAGACAGCCTGCCTCTGGTGACTAGATCAATGGACAATGATTTATCACGGGATAAAAGCAAGTGCTTGACACGTCACGTAGGATGGTTGCGGTGAATGTGATGAAATCAAAATATGTCTGGGTCATCTATCGAACGTCTGCCGAGATGAATACTTTGCTGATTAACATCAGTGTAAAAGTAAGAAATTATCTTGTGCAAACGTTCAGAAAGACACTGGGGTGCAGTGATCGTTGACGTAAGGAGTGAGAAAAGTAAAATATGGTCGCTCACTTGGGTTCATTTGATACATAAATCCTGTTGAAAAGCACGCTTGGCGTAGTCCACAATAGAGGAGTTTAGGTGACAAAATGTTGGGAGGTAAGAGCAACATCTAGTCGTTTTTTGAAAACATCCAAGGTAGGAAAGGATACAACTGAGTCTGGGAGTGCGTTTCAGGGTGGGTAAACCCGAAGGTAAAAGTAATTCCGTCGACACTCTAGACGACTATATTGTTCCTTCAATTTTAAGCAATTACCCCTCAGCTGCGTGTTGTGGTTAAGTTACACCAAATGGCGGCATACGTGGTTGAGGTCACTCAATATCTGATACGCTAATATAAGATCGCTGCGCAGCCTTCAATAGCGTCCGCTGAAAATTCCCAGCAACTTCAGTCTTCGGTGTTAAGAGTGATAGCGCAGGCCCTTTACATTCTTTGTTGCTCTTCGTCGTGGTGCCTCTATCGCTTCCAGGTCGCGCTTCAACCAAGGTAGCCAAGCTTGGATAGCGTATTCAACATGCGAGCGCACGTAAGAATTGTGCATCATTGGGAAGATTGATGGGTCAAATCTCCCGAATGCCCTTCGCAGCATACCGACGTACTGGTTGCCTCTTCTCGCAGCTACCCCAGCCTGTTTTGAACAGTTGAGGTCGCTCTGTGCGATCACATTAAGGTCACGTTTCTGGGAGCTATTCTGCAATCGGTTTGTCCCAAGTAAATAGGTGTGGTTATGTCTATGACGTAATTGTACAACGCGACATTTGTCTACGTTGAATGGTAGGGGTTTTGAACTGACCAGTTCGACACTGTGTTAACATCGCACTGGAGCCGTTCTTGGTCGTCCGGTCCTCTGATCCTTCGCCATATCTTGATATCATCAGCGAAAAATAGGAAATCGGAAGTAATTGATCGCGCCAAATCGTTAATGAGCACCAAGAACCGAGCCTTGTGGTACTCCGCACGCCACATCGATTGCATGAGAAAATGATTCTCGGACTCTCACCACTAGCCGTCGTTCTTGTAGAAAATTGCCAGTCCAACTCAAGATTGGGTCGCCAATGCCATAATTCCGAGGCTTCTGAAGGTGAATTCGATGGTCTGACCGATCAAACGCTTTTGAAAAGTCCAGGTAGATGACATCGACTCCTACCCCATAATCAACAGCTTCAGTCCAGCTATTACGTGCAATTAATAGGTTAGTATTACACAAATGCTTGTGACGAAAGCCATGTTGCTCTGGGGCTATTAAATTATGGCTTTCCGAGTATTGCATCAGCGTGTCTGCGATGATTGATTCCGTCACTTTGGATAGTACGGGAAGTAGTGTTATTGGACGGTAGTTGGCAGGATCAGTGAGGCCACCTCCTGTATGGATAGGAGTGATGACCCCTCGCTTCCATACTGGTGGAATACGCTTCTCTTCTAGAT